AGGAGGAGGAGGAGGAGGAGGAGGAGGAGGAGGAGGAGGAAGAGGAGGAGGAGGAGGAGGAGGACGAGGAGGAGGAGATGGACGAGGAGGATGAGGAAGACAATGATGATGATGATGATGATGATGATGCTGCTGCTGCTGATGATGATGATGATGATGATGATGATGATGGTGGTGGTGGTGGTGGTGGTGGTGGTGGTGGTGGTGATGTGATGATGATGATGATGTTGATGATGATGATGAGATGTGTGATGATGATGATGATGATGATGATGATGATGATGATGATGATGATGTTGATGATGATGATGATGATGATGATGATGATGATGATGGATGCTGATGATGATGATGATGATGATGATGATGATGATGATGATGATGATGATGATGATGATGATGATGATGATGATGATGATGATGATGATGCTGCTGATGATGATGATGATGATCATGCTGATGACGGTGATGATGTTGATGATGCTGATATTGCGGCTGATGATGATGCTGCTGATGCTGCTGATGATGCGGATGATGATGCTGATCGTGATGATGCTGCTGCTGCTGCTGCTGATGATGATGATGATGATGATGATGATGATGATGATGATGATGATGATGATGCTGATGCTGATGCTGATGCTGATGCTGATGATGCTGAGGATGCTGAGGATGAGGATGAGGATGAGGAGGCTGAGGAGGAGGATATGTAGATGGAGCAGGAGGAGGACGAGGAGGAGGAGGGGGAGGGGGAGGAGAAGGAGGAGACCGATGGAGAGCATGTATGACGAGGGCGAGGAGGAGGACGAGGAGGAGGTGGAGGGGAGGCAGGGGAGGAGGGGAGGAGGAGGTGGAGGAGGGGAGGAGGAGGAGGAGAGAGGAGGAGGAAGAGAATGAACATGAGGATGAGGAGGAGGCGAAGGAGGAGGAGGAGGAGGAGGAGGATGATGTGGAAATGGAGGATGATGAGGAGGATGAGGAGGAAGTGGAGGGGGAGGAGGAGGAGGAGGAGGAGGAGGAGGAGGAGGAGGCGGAGGAGAGGAAGAGGAAAAGGGAGAGGAATCTTTGTAGTACTACTACTACTGCCACTACTGCTGCTGCTGCTGCTACTACTACTACTCCTACTACAACTACTACTACTACTACTACTACTAGCAATAATAGTAATACTCGAATTCTTCATAAACGACGATTACTATTACTATTTGAAAAAGAATAACACCAGCAATGCGAATCATATTCCGAATGCGAGAACACATACCATAACCAAAACGGATGCCAATGCGAATCAAACTAGCACTAAAAACAAGACGAATCCTCACCAAAGTAATACTACTAATACTAATATCACTACACATACTAAGACTGAGTCGACTGATAAGAATGCGACGCGGACCAACACAACTAAGCATATTGGTAACACGTATACGAAGAGGAATGCGAACCCGGACACATGCTACAACCACTGCTATTAATACTAATGGTACTACCAATAATAATGTGACGGGCGCTGACAATCATGTTGATTGTGTTAGTAAGACTACGAATCATAATAATGCGACAACTATTAAGAATAGTACGAATACTCGCACTACGAATACTATCATTACTAATCATCTATACCTACTTGAGCTGTGGTATTGGCAACAGACATATGCGACTATCAATCCAGGTGCTACTAATCATAATGGTAACATTGTGAGGATGATATGGGAACTTGCAGACATGATAGAGGACATACGGAGGAATAAGGAGGCAGAGGACGAGGAGCAGGAGGGCGAGGACGAGGGCGAGGATGATGAGCAGGAGGCAGAGGACCAGGAGGAGGACGACGATGATAACGAGCAGGATGGAGGAGGCGGAGGATGGCCGCGGATCTACGGTCGGAAACGTTGATCTAGCGAGTCGCTCCGCCAGTTCTGGCCCACCACGCTTCCGTGCGACAGTCTCACAGTCTCACCACGTTCCCAATTCCTCTTTGTTTCCAGCCTCCCGCCCCACACGGAGCGGAGCGACGCTCGACCCGCTCGCGCGGCATAGCGAGTCCTTGGGGCCGCCGCCGCGACATGCTGAGCAAAAGTTCCCGACGGTGGGTGCTCGGGTTGGGGAAACGTAATATTCGAGTTCGCTGGAAGCCGGGCCAGCCGACGCTTTTTGATGGGCCCGTCCTGAATTACGACGGTCCGGTTTTCGTGGGGTGTCTGCAGAGGGAGGCCGCGTCAGGTTTGAGATTGGGCCTCGTCGTTTTCTTCGCAGCCCAGTCGGGCCAACCAGGGTCCCCCAGACCCGAGTCTTAGGTCTCCCCGATCGGGATGAGCCGATCCGGGATCGGAGCCAGCGTGCGACCTGCTGTTCCCTTCCGAAGGTGCAGGTGCTCGCCCACCTGTTGGCGCCAATGCTGGGCGGCAGGGAGGGTCCCGCTCGGCGCCGACCACGCCTGAGGACGAAGAGTGCGAGGAGGAGGAGGCGGAGGAGGAGGAGGAGGCGGAGGCGGAGGAGGAGGAGGAGGAGGCGGAGGCGGAGGAGGAGAGAAGGAGGAGGTGGAGGAGGAGGAGGAGGAGGAGGAGAGGAGCCGGGAGGGGGGAGGAGGAGAGGAGGAGAGGGAGGAGGAGGAGGAGGAGGAGGCGGAGGCGGAGGAGGAGGAGGAGGAAGAGGAGGAGGACGAGGGGACGAGGACGGGACGAGGATGATGATGATGCTGATGATGCTGATGATGATGATGATGATGCTGCTGCTGCTGATGATGATGATGATGATGATGATGATGAGGAGGAGGAGGAGGAGGAGGAGGATGAGGATGAGGAGGAGGAGGAGGGCGCAGGACGAGGGCGAGAGTGTGTGAGGTTGTGGAGGAGTTGGACGCGGGAGAAGGAGTGGGGCGATGACGACGAGGCCGACGACGATGCAAGGCAACCAGGCATGGCGAGCAACACGAGAAGGAGGAGGAGGAGGAGGAATATGATGATGCTGCTGATGATGCTGCTGATGATGATGATGATGATGCTGATGATGATGATGATTCTGCTGATGATGAATGTGATGATGATGATGATGATGATGATGATGATGATGATGATGGTGGTGATGGTGCTCATGATGACGATGCTGCTGATGATGCTGATGATGGAGATGGATATGGTGCTGATGATGATGATGATTATGATGATAATGATGATGATGATGATGATGATGATGATGCTGATGATGATGATGATGATGATGATGATGATGATGATGATGATGATGATGATGATGATGATGATGCAGCGACGATGAGGGGTCGACGTCTTAGACGAAGACGCGGCGTTTGTGGTAATGGCGATACGATCTACTTTGATACATGATCCGAAGCCGATGGCTTCGACGATTTCGAATAGGATAACGACGACGACCTTAATGAAGACGACGACGACCTAATCCCGGCAACCTGTTGGGCGTAGGTGCTTTGAGGAGGGGAGAGATTTATCATTGCGTTCCCACTTGGCCATTCTCCAACCAGGAACAACGGAACCCCTCCACCCCTGTCAAAAACAATACACAGTGCATGTGGCGGTAACATTTGGTTCGTGAGCGGGTGCACTGCACGCACTTTACATACGTTTTTGACAGGGGCGGCGGAGTGGTGAGTATACTGGTTCGCTGTGCGCTCGGCCACTACTTCATTCAAAAACAATGGCACGCACACACGCGCACATACGGACACCATACACCATGCTGACCACACCGCTGTCACTACAACGCTTGTCTTGATACGGATTGTCGGTATGTCGATACCCCGCCCGCGGCGCGCTGTCACATGCATTGGCGCACCTGGGGCACTTTGTGCGCGTCGCACACGTGGTGCACGTGGTGCAGTTGAAGCATGTGGCACACTTGGCGCACGTAACGCACGTGACGCATCTGGCGCACTTGACACTGGGCGCGGCTGGGGCACGCCTGGGCACCTCGGGCTCTTTGCGCACCTGGTGCGTGTGGCGAACCTGCCACACGTGGTGCACCTCTCGAGCGTCGCGCCCCTGGCGTCTGTATGGGTTCTCAATTGGTTGTCCATCCGATGGCGACCTCTGCTTGTGCTGAGTCTTGGGTGCTGCTGATGCGGGAGGATTGCTGGTGGGAGCGAGCGCGACAGCTCGTGACGCTCCCGTTTGGGACTTGACCCTCTCCCATCCCCTACCTTGGGTCTGGGCGGCGGCGGGGGGGCGCGCGTGGTCAGTGCGTTTTTGTTGGCCCAGTGCAGCTTCAAGAGGACCTCGGATGTCCCAGGATGGCTCGAGGAGGCTCAGTATGGCCTCCCAGATTCCGCAGCTATGCCACATGACCACCCCAATGCTGCTCCAAGTGGCCACAGAGCTTTCCACGGAGACCACGGAGAGGCCAACATCTTTTGTCATTTGTTGTGCTATGCTTGTTGTGTGCTTGTTGCCTACTCGTTGCCAATTGGCCTCTGGGGCCTCAAGATGTCCCCAAGATCCCGCATCACAGCCCCGAGAGCGGGCAATCACATGTGCAACAACTGTTCATACAACGTCCGAATTGCCATGAAACCCCACTGTTGGGGCTCCCAGAGGCGAGTTCTCGTTCTCGAGAGGGGCGGCGCTACGCTTCCGCCTTCTTTACATACGTACCTTCTCAACTACGGCCCCCAAATGCCCCAATCGCCCCCACAGAGGACCCCGAGAGAGCCCCAAGAGGACCCCAGCGGCTTCCACAAGCGTCCACGATAATTTGGCTCCAGGAGGATTCCAAGAGGCTGCACGAGGGCTCTAAGTTCACTGTTGTCGGCCTGTCCCGCCAAATGCTTATGCGCACCATTTTTTGCCGACAGCTCGCCTGGGCATCGTTTCTGGATGGGCTGGTGGGAATCTGCCAAGCGTGAAGTGGCGACGATGGCAGCGGCGACGGCGAGGGGACCCGCCCGAGCCGCCCGCGTCCAGCGACTCGCGGGCGCCGGCGGGGCGCTGCCGCTGCGGCCGCTGCGCGACGACGCGCTGGTCCTGAGGATGAACCGGATCGCGGCAGACGACGCGACGGAGGCTCCGTGGCCGTGGCCGTCGCCCCGCTCCAGGATTGGAGGGTCGAGGCTGTCGAGGGATCCAGGATCGCCTCGCTCGAGGATCGAGATGCCGTGGGATCGAGGACCGCCTCGCTCGCGGATCCGAGGCGTAGGTGTCGAAGGCTCGAGGATCGCCTCGCTCGAGGAGCGGAGGATCGAGGCACCCAGGGGATCGAGGATCGCTTCGCTCGAGGGTCGAGGCTGGAGACTCGAGGGTCGAAGTTGTCGGGCGCCTCTTGGGCCTCGGATCGGCGTTTCACAGATGGGGCCCTGATGGATGGGGGCCCAAGGATAGGACAGGATCCAAGGGGTGAGTTACGTTGTTTGAGGCACCTCGTCCCGAGGGCCTCGTCCCTCAGGACCCCATCTTTGAACCACCGATCGGAGGGTTCCCTCAATGACCACGGCGCTGGTCCGGCGGGGCGGCGAGCGGCAGGAGCCCCTCAGGGCCAGATACGAGAAAGACCATGGTGGCGGCGGCGTCGCCGTCGCCGTGGTCGCCGTAGTCGTCGCCGTCGTCGTGGTGCGGTGGTCGTGGGGAGGGGAGAGGGAGGAGGAGGGGGGAACGGGGAGAGGAAGGGACGGAGGAGAGAGAGAAGGGGGGAATGATGATGATGATGGTGCTAGTGGTGGTGATGGTTTTGTGAAAGTTGCTCATGGGGCTGATGCTGATGCTGCTGCTAGTGATGCTGCGGATGTTGGTATTATTGACGATGATGGTGATGGCGATGGTAATGGTGATACAACTGATGACGATGCTGCTGCTGATGAGCACGCTGATGATGATGATGATGATGATGCTGATGATGATCATGATGATGATGATGATGGTGGTGGTGGCGGGGTGGTGGTGGTGGGGTGGTGGTGGTGGGGTGGTGATGGTGGTGATGATCATGGTAGTGGTCACGATGATGATGCTGGTGATGATGCTGCTGATGATGATGCTAGTGATGCGGATGATGATTATGACGATGATGGCGATGCGATAATGATGCTGGTGATGATGATGCTGATGATGATGATGATGATGATGATTCTGATGATGATGCTGCTGCGATGCTGATGAGGATGACGGTGCTGTTTGTGCTGCTGATGATGATGCTGATTATGCTGCTCACGATGATTACGATGCTGATGATTCTGATTCTGATGATGTTGATGCTGATGCTGATGCCGATGATCATGCTGGTGATAGTGGAGGTGGTGGTGGGGGTGGTGATGGTGGTGATGATCACGGTGGTGGTCACGATGATGATGCTGATTGTGATGATAGTGATAGTGATGCGGATGATGATCATGACTATGATGACGATGATGATGATGGTGATGATGATGATGATGATGATGATGATGCTGCCCATGATGATGCTGATTCTGATGATGATGCTGCTGCGATGCTGATGAGGATGACGATGCTGTTTGTGCTGCTGCGATGCTGATGAGGATGATGATTCTGCTGCTGCTGATGCTGAGGGTGATGATGATGAGGATGAGGATGAGGATGATGAGCATGACGATGCTGATGATTCTGATTATGATGATGTTGATGCTGATTGCTGCTGATGATGATGCTGATACGATGATAATGATAATGATGATGATGCTGGTGCTGCTTCTGCTGATTATGATGATGAGGATGCTGATGATGATGATTATGTTTATGCCGATGATGCTGTTTTTGTTGCTGATGATTAGGATGGTGATGGTGATTTCGTTGCTGATGCTGATGCTGAGCATGATGCATGCGATGATGCTGATGCTGATGATGATGGTGCTAATGATGACGATGCTGATGATGGTTATGAGGATGCTGGTGATACTGATGATGCTGCTGATGATGCTGATGTTGCTGATGATTGTGATGATGCTGCTGATAATGATGATGATGATGATGATGATGATGATGATGATGATGTGGATCGCGACATTGACGATGCTGATTATGATTCTTCTTATGATGATGATTCGTTTGATGATGCAGCGGTTATGGTTGATGATTATGATGTCAGTGATGGTGCTGACGACGAAGATGAATGTGATTGTGATGATGCATCATCAACGTCACCAGCTGCTGCTGATGATGCTGATGATGACGATCATGATGCTGATGATGATGGTGCGGATGACGATGCTGATCTTGATTATGATGCTGCTGCTGATGATGATGATGATCATGATGCTGATGCTGATGATGCTCATGATGATGATGCTGACTATTATTATGTTATCATTTTTCTTACTACTGTTATCATTCGTATTCGTAGTGTCACCAGTATTGTTACCATCATCATCACCATTCTTATTATGAGCGCTATCTAATTAATACTTTTACTACTGTTATCATCCTCATGGTTGTCATTACTTTTATTATTGTTATTGCTACTGATGTTGCTTACACGGAGGGTGGTGAGACGGAGGAGGACCAGGAGGATGATTGCGACGGGATCTGTATCGAAGACGCCCACGACGAATCACCGCCGCTCCCTGCTTTTGGGGAGAGTTTGGCCACGCCATTGGACCATGCATTCCCCTAGCCGTTGTGGAAGCCCTTCGGTGATCACCTGGGGAGCAAGAGGAGGATGAGGAGAGGAAGGAAGGATGAGGAGACCTCTTGGGGGTTTCTTGAGTCACCCTTGGAGCCTCCTGGGAGCTTCCTGAGGGCCTCCTGGAGGCCTCTTGGGGGCGTCCTTGGGCCTCTTGGGGGCGTCCATGGGCCTCTTGAGGGCCTTTTGGGTCTTACCGCATTCTCCGCCTGTCTGACGCCGTTGGAAGCCGTTTTGATGGCGTCTCTGGGCCGTCTTGGGGCCTTTTTAGGGCGCTGCAGGGCTGTCTGGGAGGCCATCTTGGGCGTCTCGGAGGACTCTTGGGCCGTCTTTGGGCCCTCTTGGGGCCGTCTTGGGGTCCTCTTGGGCCGTCATGGGGCCGTCTTGGGTGCCTCCTCGGCGATCTTGGCGCGATCTTGGGGGCCTCTTGCGCAGTCTTGGGCCGTCGGAGGGCCGAACATAAGGAAATGCCAAGATCCCTTCAACCACCTCCGGGAAATCATTGACTTTTGCATCTTCGGGCCTTCCTGGAGGACCTTTTTGAGGCCTCTTAGACCGTCTTAGAGGCTTCTTGGGGGCCTCTCGGGCCGTTTTGGGCCATCTTGGGCCGTCTTGGGGCCACCTTCTCTCTTGGGGCCATATTGGCCGTCTTGGAGATATCTTGGAGGCCATCATGGCCGTCTTGGATGCGATTGGGCCCACGACGGAGTTGTGGGTTTTTCGGCGGTTTGCCCGGCCTCCCGGGTGGCTGGGGAAATGGACCGAATCCCCATGGGGGAGCCAACACAAGAACCCAAAACGACACACGCAAATCAGCACGCCAGGAACACTTATGATTAATCACCAGGGGGCGGCGGATCGAAGACGCCTACGGCGAATCACCGCCGCCCCCTGCCTTCCATGTGGCCGAGCGTTGTGGCAAGAGCTCTTCCAAGCTATCGGACCATGTGTTCCCCCAGCCGTTGTGGCAACCCTTCGGGGAACACGTGGAGGAGGATGGCGGGGAAGATCAGGAGGAGACGGAGGAGGAGGTGGAGGAGGAGGAGGTGGAGGAGAAGGAGGAGGAGGCTAGCCCGTCTGCCACCGTCCGAAACCGTCTTGGGGGCCTTTCTGGGCCGACTTGGGGTGCTCTTGGGGTGCTCCAGGGTCGTCTTGGAAACCATCTTGGGCGTCTTGGAGGCCTTTTGGCCCGTCGTTGGGCCCTCTTGGGCCCGTCTTGGAGGCCTCTTGGGCTGCTCTGGGGCCATCCTGGAGGCCTCTTGGGCGATCTTGGGGCGATCTTTGGGAGCTCTTAGGCCGTCTCGGGCCGTCGGAAGGCCGAACAGAAGCAACTGCCCAAATCCATCGAAAACTCGAGGGAAATCCATGATTTTGGCCTCAGGCTTTCCTGGGGACTCTTGGAGGCCTCTTGGGCCGTCTTGAGCCATCTTAGGGCCATCTTCGGCAGTCTTGGTGGGCTCCTGGCCCGTCTGACGCTGTCGGAAGCCGTCTTGGGGGCCTCTCTGGGCCGACTTGGGGCTCTAGGGCCGTCTTTGAAACTGCCCTGGGCGTCTTGGGGGCCTCTTGGGCCGTCGTTGGGCCCTCTTGGGGCCGTCTTGGGGGGCCTCTTGGGCCGTCATGGGGCCGTCTTGGGTGCCTCCTCGGCGATCTTGGCGCGATCTTGGGGGCCTCTTGCGCAACCTTGGGCTGTTCTGTGGCCATCTTGGAGGCCTCTTGGGCGATCTTTAGGGGCTCTTGGGCCGTCTCGGGCAATCGGAAGGCCGAAAAGAAGCAAACGCCAAAATCCTTCAAAATCTCACGGACAATGCATGATTCTGGCCTCTTCGGGTCTTCCTGGGGGCTCTCTTAGAGGCCTCGTCTTGGTGGGCTCCTGGCCCGTCTGACGCCGTCGAAAGCCGTCTCGGGGGCCACTTTGGGCCGACTGAGGGCCTTCTCGGGGTGCTCCGAGGCAGTCTTGAAGGCTTCCTTGGGAGTCTTAGCGGCCTCTTGGGCAGTCTTTGGGCCCTCTTGGGGCCGTCTTGGGGGCCTCTTGGGCAGTCCTGACGCTATCTTGGAGGCCTCTTGGGCGCTCTGGGGGCGATCTTTGGGGGCCTCTTGGGCCGTCTTGGGTCGTCGGAAGGCAGAAAAAGAGCAAATACAATGATTTTAGCATCTTCGGGTCCTCCTGGAGGACCTCTCGGAGGTCTCTTGGGCTGTCTTGGAGGCCTCTTGGACACCTCTTGGGCAGTCTTGGGCCGTCTTGGAGGCTTCTTGGGCGCATCTGGAAGTAAGTTGGACCCTCTCAGGCCGTCTTGGAGGCCATCTTGGCCGTCTTGGATGCATCTTGGAGGCCATCTTGGGCCGTCTTGGAGCCGTCTGGAGCAGGAAGACCCTTGGCAACCACCTCTGGACGATCTTTCCGGGT